TTACACTAGACACCACTCTGTAGTACACTAGACACCACTCTATAGTACACTAGACACCACTCCATAGTACACTAGACACCACTCTATAGTACACTAGACACCACTCTGTAGTACACTAGACACCACTCTATAGTACACTAGACACCACTCTGTAGTACACTAGACACCACTCTGTAGTACACTAGACACCACTCTATAGTACACTAGACACCACTCTGTAGTACACTAGACACCACTCTATAGTACACTAGACACCACTCTATAGTACACTAGACACCACTCTGTAGTACACTAGACACCACTCTGTAGTACACTAGACACCACTCTGTAGTACACTAGACACCACTCTGTAGTACACTAGACACCACTCTGTAGTACACTAGACACCACTCTGTAGTACACTAGACACCACTCTGTAGTACACGAGACACCACTCTATAGTACACTAGACACCACTCTATAGTACACTAGACACCACTCTGTAGTACACTAGACACCACTCTATAGTACACTAGACACCACTCTATAGTACACTAGACACCACTCTGTAGTACACTAGACACCACTCTATAGTACACTAGACACCACTCTATAGTACACTAGACACCATTCTATAGTACACGAGACACCACTCTGTAGTACACTAGACACCACTCTATAGTACACGAGACACCACTCTGTAGTACACTAGACACCACTCTATAGTACACTAGACACCACTCTGTAGTACACTAGACACCACTCTGTAGTACACTAGACACCACTCTGTAGTACACTAGACACCACTCTGTAGTACACTAGACACCACTCTATAGTACACTAGACACCACTCTGTAGTACACTAGACACCACTCTATAGTACACTAGACACCACTCTATAGTACACGAGACACCACTCTGTAGTACACTAGACACCACTCTGTAGTACACTAGACACCACTCTATAGTACACTAGATACCACTCTATAGTACACTAGACACCACTCTTTAGTACACTAGACACCACTCTGTAGTACACTAGACACCACTCTATATTACACTAGAGACCACTCTATAGTACACTATACACCACTCGATAGTACACTAGACACCACTCTATAGTACACTAGATACCACTCTATAGTACACTAGACACCACTCTATAGTACACTAGAGACCACTCTATAGTACACTATACACCACTCGATAGTACACTAGACACCACTCTATAGTACACTAGACACCACTCTACTAGACACCACTCTATAGTACACTAAACACCACTCGATAGTACACTAGACACCACTCTATATTACACTAGAGAACACTCTATAGTACACTAGACACCACTCTATAGTACACTAGACACCACTCTATATTACACTAGACACCACTCTATAGTACACTAGACACCACTCTATAGTACACTAGACACCACTCTATTACACTAGAGACCACTCTATAGTACACTAGAGACCACTCTATAGTACACTAGACACCACTCTGTAGTACACTAGACACCACTCTATATTACACTAGAGACCACTCTATAGTACACTAGACACTACTCTATATTACACTAGACACCGCTCTATAGTACACTAGACACCGCTCTATAGTACACTAGACACCACTCTATAGTACACTTGACACCACTCTATATTACACTAGACACCACTCTATAGTACACTAGACACCACTCTATAGTACACTAGACACCACTCTATATTACACTAGAGACCACTCTATAGTACACGAGACACCACTCTATAGTACACTAGACACCACTCTATAGTACACTAGACACCACTCTATAGTACACTAGACACTACTCTATAGTACACTAGACACCACTCTATAGTGCACTAGACACCACTCTATAGTACACTAGACACCACTCTATAGTACACTAGAGACCACTGTATAGTACACTAGACACCACTCTATATTACACTAGAGACCACTCTACATTACACTAGAGACCACTCTATAGTACACTAGAGACCACTCTATAGTACACTAGAGACCACTCTATAGTGCACTAGACACCACTCTATAGTACACTAGACACCCCTCTATAGTACACTAGACACCACTCTATAGTACACTAAACACCACTCTATAGTACACTAGACACCACTCTATAGTACACTAGACACCACTCTATAGTACACTAGACACCACTCTATATTACACTAGACACCACTCTATATTACACTAGACACCACTCTATAGTACACGAGAGACCACTCTATAGTACACGAGACACCACTCTATAGTACACTAAACACCACTCTATAGTACACTAAACACCACTATAGTACACTAAACACCACTCTATACTACACTAGAGACCACTCTATAGTACACTAGACACCACTCTATAGTACACTAGACACCACTCTATAGTACACTAGACACCACTCTATATTACACTAGAGACCACTCCATAGTACACTAGACCACTCTATAGTACACTAAACACCACTCTATAGTACACTAGACACCACTCTATATTACACTAAACACCACTCTATATTACACTAGACACCACTCTATAGTACACTAGACACCAATCTATAGTACACTAGACACCACTCTATATTACACTAAACACCACTCTATAGTACACTAGACACCACTCTATAGTACACTAGACACCACTCTATAGTACACTAGACACCACTCTATTGTACACTAAACACCACTATAGTACACTAGACACCACTCTATAGTACACTATACACCACTCTATAGTACACTAGACACCTCTATAGTACACTAGACACCACTCTATTGTACACTAAACACCACTATAGTACACTAGACACCACTCTATAGTACACTAGACACCAGTCTATAGTACACTAGACACCACTCTATAGTACACTAGACACCACTCTATAGTACACTATACACCACTCCATAGTACACTAGACACCACTCTACTAGACACCACTCTATAGTACACTAGACACCACTCTATAGTACACTAGACACCACTCTATAGTACACTAGACACCACTCTATAGTACACTAGAGACCACTCTGTAGTACACTATACACCACTCCATAGTACACTAGACACCACTCTACTAGACACCACTCTATAGTACACTAGACACCACTCTATAGTACACTAGACACCACTCCGTAGTACACTAGACACCACTCTATATTACACTAGAGACCACTCTATAGTACACTAGACACCACTCTATAGTACACTAGACACCACTCTATATTACACTAGAGACCACTCTATAGTACACTAGACACCACTCTATAGTACACTAGACACCACTCTATAGTACACTAGACACCACTCTGTAGTACACTAGACACCACTCTGTATTACACTAGAGACCACTCTATAGTACACGAGACACTACTCTATAGTACACTAGACACCACTCTATAGTACACTAAACACCACTCTATAGTACACTAGACACCACTCTATATTACACTAGACACCACTCTATAGTACACTATACACCACTCTATAGTACACTAGACACCACTCCATAGTACACTAAACACCACTCTATAGTACACTAGACACCACTCCACATTACACTAGACACCACTCTATAGTACACTAGAGACCACTCTATAGTACACTAGACACCACTCTATAGTACACTAGAGACCACTCTGTAGTACACTAGACACCACTCTATAGTACACTAGACACCACTCTATAGTACACTAGAGACCACTCTGTAGTACACTAGACACCACTCTATAGTACACTAGACACCACTCTATATTACACTAGAGACCACTATAGTACACGAGACACCACTCTATAGTACACTAGACACCACTCTATAGTACACTAGACACCACTCTATAGTACACTAGACACCAGTAGTAGCAGGCAGCAGCAGCAGGCAGCCATCAGCAGCAGCAGGCAGTAACAGCAGCAGGCAGCCATCAGCAGCGGCAAGCAGGCAGCAGCAGGCAGCAGCAGGCGGCAGCAGGCAACAGCAGGCAGCAGCAGCAGGCGGCAGCAGTAGGCGGCATCAGGGAACAGCAGGCGGCAGCAGGCAACAGCAGGCGGCAGCAGCAGGCGGCAGCAGCAGGCGGCAGCAGCAGGCGGCAGCAGCAGGCGGCAGCAGCAGGCGGCAGCAGCAGGCGGCAGCAGCAGGCGGCAGCAGCAGGCGGCATCAGGCAACAGCAGGCGGCAGCAGCAGGCGGCAGCAGCAGGCGGCAGCAGGCAGCAGGCGGCTGCAGGTAACAGCAGCAGGCAACAGCAGCAGGCAACAGCAGCAGGCAGCAGCAGGTAGCAGCAGCAGCAGGTAACAGCAGCAGCAGGCAGCAGCAGCAGGCAGCAGCAGGTAGCAGCAGCAGGCAGCAGGCAACAGCAGCAGGTAACAGCAGCAGCAGGCAGCAGCAGCAGGCAGCAGCAGGTTGCAACAGCAGCAGGCAGCAGCAGCAGGTAACAGCAGCAGGTTGCAGCAGCAGGCAGCAGCAGGCAGCAGCAGGTAACAGCAGCAGGTAACAGCAGCAGGTTGCAGCAGCAGGCAGCAGCAGGTTGCAGCAGCAGCAGGCAGCAGCAGGTTGCAGCAGCAGCAGCAGGTAACAGCAGCAGGCAGCAGCAGGTAACAGCAGCAGGTTGCAGCAGCAGCAGGTAACAGCAGCAGGTAACAGCAGCAGGTAGCAGCAACAGGCTGCAGGCAGCAGCAACAGGCTGCAGGTAACAGCAGCAGGCAGCAGCAGACAGCAGGCAGCAGCAGGTAACAGCAGCAGGCTGCAGGCAGCAGCAACAGGCTGCAGGTAACAGCAGCAGACAGCAGCAGCAGACAGCAGCAGCAGACAGCAGACAGCACGCAGCAGCAACAGGCTGCAGGCAGCAGCAACAGGCTGCAGGTAACAGCAGCAGGCAGCAGCAGACAGCAGCAGCAGGAAACAGCAGCAGGTAACAGCAGCAGGCAGCAGCAGCAGGTAACAGCAGCAGCAGGTAACAGCAGCAGGCAGCAACAGCAGCAGGCAGCAGCAGGCAGCAACAGCAGCAGGTTGCAGCAGCAGCAGGCAGCAGCAGCATTGTTTCAGTGCTGCAGGTGCGGCCGCAGACCAACTCGTAGTTATGCCTGCCCGCTCCTTTCTCGTGTAACACTTCGTGATGTTGTGGACGTGTCATCACACTTGTTGTACCCTATAAGAGGGCTGAGTTGGTAGAGTCCACGTTCCACGCACGCCCAACCCCCCCCCCCACTCGGCGCTGCTTGAATAATGGTCTCGTCGACCGGGAAGGCCGCCGCTGTGCCCGGGACCTCCTCCTCAGCCTCTCGGCGTCTCTCGCGCTGTGTCCCGCCGGCTTCGCCGTGAACTCTCTCGGCGGAGGGAGCGAGAGAGAGGGAGGGGGAGAGTGCGGGGGAGAGACAGAGAGCGAGACAGAGAGAGAGAGAGCGAGCAAGGTACGCGCTGTGGTGGGGGGGGGGTGAGTCGCCTTGCGGTACCGCGGCCGCTCCTGAGTTTCAAGGCGCGTATCGATTCATGATTTCTAGATTCGGTTCAAATCGATCTCCCTCGCCCGCTGCAATGCGAGTTTAATAGACACGTTCATCGCCACGTTAAATACACGGCGGCGGCGAGGATTTAGCGAAGTCGCAGGCATAAGTGTCGCTATAACGCGTGATTTGTAACGTATACATTCTGAATCGCGTGTAATGTGCGCATAGGAATCGATTTTCTAAACCGCGTCAGTAATCGATACAACTCCAGTGTTTGTGTGCACAATGTAACGACTTTTACATTGAGACCTCCTTTACCAGTAACAAGATATAGTTAGTAATAGGTTTTTACCCTTTTTTATCTGGCACAAAAAACTGACACCTTTATACAAGGGATCTTGTTTGCAATGACCACAACACAAGCAGTCAAAAATGCAAACAAATAAGAGACAACTCTGATAATAATGATAATAATATGCAGTGTCCTTGAATTTGGCGTCTTGTGGTCCAACACCAGTGGAGACTAAGGGCTCTAAGAACAGCCGTCTCGGGTGTGGGCCAATCAACTTCAAGGACAGTGCCAATTTCATTATCAGAGTTGTCTCTTTTGGTTTGCATTTTTGACTGCTTGTGTTGTGGTTATTGCAAACATGATCCATTGTATAAAAGTGTAAGTTTTTGTGCCAGATAAAAAAGGGTAAAAACCTATTACTATAATGTAACGACTGTCGCGATATTAGTTTATTATTTGATATTATTAGATAGATATTATTAAATATTAGTTTCCCATGAACTTTTGCACAGCTTAATTTCGCATTCTTATTTTATTTGCTTTGCGCATTGCCGCACTCCCACTACAAATACATATTCCGTGTCTAAAAGTTACTCAACTGAAGTTAGGTCATCAAATCACTCACCACACTGCAGCTCACAACAACAACACACTCACCCACCCACTCACCACACTGCAACTCACAACAACACACTCACCCACTCACCACCATGCAGCTCACAACAACACACCCACTCACCACACTGCAGCTCACAACTACACACTCACCCACCCACTCACCACACTGCAGCTCACAACTACACACTCACCCACCCACTCACCACACTGCAGCTCACAACAACAACACTCACCCACCCACTCACCACACTGCAGCTCACAACAACAACACACTCACCCATTCACCCACTCACCACACTGCAGCTCACAACAACACACTCACCCACTCACCACCATGCAGCTCACAACAACACACCCACTCACCATACTGCAGCTAACAACAACACTCACCCACTCACTCACCACACTGCAGCTCACAACAACTACAACACTCACCCATTCACTCACCACACTGCAGCTCACAACAACACACCCACTCACTCACCATACTGCAGCTAACAACAACACTCACCCACTCACCACACTGCAGCTCACAACAACTACACACTCACCCACTCACTCACCACACTGCAGCTCACAACAACAACACTCACCCACTCACTCACCACACTACAGCTCACAACAACAACACTCACCCATTCACTCACCACACTGCAGCTCACAACAACAACACTCACCCACTCACTCACCACACTGCAGCTCACAACAACAACACACTCACCCATTCACTCACCACACTGCAGCTCACAACTACACTCACCCACTCACCACACTGCATGTCACAACAACACACTCACCCACTCACCACACTGCAGCTCACAACTACAACACTCACCCACTCACTCACCACACTGCAGCTCACAACAACACTTTCACTCACCACACTGCAGCTCACAACAACACACTCACCCACTCACCCACCCACTCACCACACTGCAGCTCACAACAACACACTCACTCACAACACTGCAGCTCACAACAACAACTACACACTCACCCACTCACTCACCACACTACAGCTCACAACAACAACACATTCACTCACCACACTGCAGCTCACAACAACACACTCACCCACTCACCACACTGCAGCTCACAACAACAACACTCACCCACTCACTCACCATAATACAGCTCACAACAACTCACTCACCCACTCACTCACCACACTGCAGCTCACAACAACAACACTCACCCACTCACTCACCATAATACAGCTCACAACAACAACACTCACCCACTCACCACACTGCAGCTCACAACAACTCACTCACCCACTCACTCACCACACTGCAGCTCACAATAACACATTCACTCACCACACTGCAGCTCACAACAACAACAACACTCATCCACCCACTCACCACACTGCAGCTCACAACAACAACACTCACCCACTCACTCACCACACTACAGCTCACAACAACAACACTCACCCACTCACTCACCACACTGCAGCTCACAACAACAACACTCACCCACTCACCACTATGCAGCTCACAACAACAACACTCACCCACTCACTCACCACACTGCAGCTCACAACAACACACTCACCCACTCACTCACCACACTGCAGCTCACAACAACAACACTCACCCACTCACTCACCACACTGCAGCTCACAACAACAACACTCACCCACTCACTCACCACACTGCAGCTCACAACAACACACTCACCCACTCACTCACCACACTGCAGCTCACAACAACAACACTCACCCACTCACTCACCACACTGCAGCTCACAACAACTACACTCACCCACTCACCACACTGTAGCTCACAACAACAACACTCACCCACTCACTCACCACACTGCAGCTCACAACAACAACACTCACCCACTCACCACACTGCAGCTCACAACAACAACACTCACCCACTCACTCACCACACTGCAGCTCACAACAACAACACACTCACCCACTCACTCACCACACTGCAGCTCACAACAACTCACTCACCCACTCACTCACCACACTGCAGCTCACAACAACTCACTCACCCACTCACTCACCACACTGCAGCTCACAACAACAACACTCACCCACTCACTCACCACACTGCAGCTCACAACAACAACACTCACCCACTCACTCACCACACTGCAGCTCACAACAACAACACTCACCCACTCACTCACCACACTGCAGCTCACAACTACACACTCACTCACCACACTGCAGCTCACAACAACAACTACACACTCACCCACTCACCACACTGCAGCTCACAACTACACACTCACTCACCACACTGCAGCTCACAACAACAACACTCACCCACTCACTCACCACACTGCAGCTCACAACAACTCACTCACCCACTCACTCACCACACTGCAGCTCACAATAACACATTCACTCACCACACTGCAGCTCACAACTACAACTACACACTCACCCACTCACCACACTGCAGCTCACAACTACACACTCACTCACCACACTGCAGCTCACAACAACAACAACAACACTCACCCACTCACCACACTGCAGCTCACAACTACACACTCACTCACTCACCACACTGCAGCTCACAACTACACACTCACTCACTCACCACACTGCAGCTCACAACTACAACTACACACTCACCCACCCACTCACCACCCTGCAGCTCACCTCAGTTATTTTTCTGCTTCTTCACTCGCACCGCTCCACGCCACCGCCGTTCTCCCCCAAGCTCCTTGGTAACCTTGCTAAGTTCAAGACACGACCCTTCACAACTCTCATCTTTTACTATTTTGATAAGGGTGCTGTTTGTTTCTGGCCGATTGACGTTCTGGGCCTGAACTCAGCAGCTGTGTAAAACATACACACGAGCCTGCCAGAATTGTTCAAATCATTGCAACTTTACGATCTGTAACGTTTACAATGCTGCGAGTTGCACACGACTTTAGCGATGGAGTTAAACAATGACATGGGTCAATTAGGAGAGTGTTTAGATTATACGATATATCGATATATAAGATCATACGATATATCGATATGTAAGATCATACGATATATCTCGTACGATATATATGATCCGCCGATAATCATATCAGTCCACGTAACGTACGATATATTAGATAATACGATATATCGTCGCACGATATATCGCGATATATCGTGAGCAGTGTCGCCATATCGCGACACGCGAAGAGCACAGTGCGTGGAGCGGCACTCTGGACTTGTTTTACCAGGTCAGAGCCGCTGATCTGTGTAGCCCTGTTTTAGAAGCGAGCTGGCTATCACGAATGTGTAGAAATAGAGAGCAGACGAATAATTTTAAACGCACGAGTCGCAATGTGGAGGGGAAAACCGGAGGACCCGGAGAAAAATCCACGCGACCACTGGGAGAGAGAGACACGCGAACTCCAAATATACACCAGCAGCAACAGGCATCGGGGTTGGGATCGAACCCCCGACCTCTTGTAGTTCAGGCGAGGGAGTTAACATCTCCTAGCCACCGCACTGCTTGGCACGTACATGCTAGTGCATGACACAAGCTGCGTACAAGGCTGTAACACAAACCCTCACACACAGTTTCACGAGGTGCATATTGCCGGCAACGTCACGGGGCAGAAACACGGGCAAGTGCAAAGCAAATGGAATTCAAGCTGAGAAAGTACACAAAGCTGCTGCTGCTGCCCAGTGCTTCCCGCTGCTGCCCAGTGCTTCCCGCTGCTGCTGCTGCTGCTCACTGCTGCTGCCCGGTGCTTCCTGCTGCTGCTGCTCACTGCTGCTGCCCAGTGCTTCCTGCTGCTGCTGCTGCTCACTGCTGCTGCCCAGTGCTTCCTGCTGCTGCTGCTCACTGCTGCTGCCCAGTGATTCCTGCTGCTGCTGCTCACTGCTGCTGCCCAGTGCTTCCTGCTGCTGCTGCTGCTCACTGCTGCTGCCCAGTGCTTCCCGCTGTTGCTGCTGCTGCTGCCCAATGCCCAACGCTCCCCAGCGCTTCCGTGATTATTAGAGTGGTAATTCACGTTCCCCACTCCTTTAATCTTCAATTTCTTTGACAGATCGAATTTGTATAGCCAACAACTCCTAATATCCAACTCCTAATAT